ATCGGCTCCCCCTGATGGTCGCGTATGTACGTACGTTGAACTTTTTTCGGAACGTACGTAGCCAACCGTGCTAATCGGAGATGCGGGGGAAGAACAACAAACTAAACACAAAAAGCAGTTCTAAAGAAATTAGTTTTAAATCTAAACGATTTAATAGTGCTACAGCTACCGGTGGCTTCCCAATATTGGAAGGAAGAGCGTTCCAGACGGCCGCAGAAGTGCACCAGAAAGCAGGATGATGCGGTGACCACCGTCTTTCTTCGACGGCTTAGCCAAAAGCCGCCGTTGCGAGGATGACCGGACATCGCGTGGAGCCAGCCGAGTTTGCTGCGAGTTGGGGCTCTCGGGACTGGACCCAAAACGGAGGCCGACCGCTTCTGGACATCTGTGACTACCGGACATCTGTGAAAAAAGAGCTTTACAGCTCATCGGATTCCTCCATTGAAAATAAATATTCTGATTCTCAAAGAGATGGCTGCCCATCCCCCCCCCAAACCGGCCTCTCCCCCCACCACCTCGCGCGAAAAGCGAAAACGTTAAGGCCACTGCCAATGTCTCCTCGGGTAATCCCACCATGCAGCAGCAAGCCACGTCGGTAGGGGGACGGAAGCTCGCATGCCCCCCCCACCTCCAAACCCGCTGCAACTGGGGCCCGACGTTGGCGAGCCGAGTCTGCGGCCCGAGTTGGGTGCCTGCTGCGAGGGAGGTCCGCGCAATCCCCTCCGCTCGCGCCCGTCGTGGACGGCGGTCGGCGCGCCGACGATAGAATCCGAGGCCCCTGGGGACCCCGCCAGGGCATCCCCCCTGGCCCCACCTTGGAGGGGGTCTGGGGGGCTCGTCGGACCCCCCGGGTGGGGTCGCACACACGTTTTTGTGTCGGTCTTCTCCCGTCTCTCCCAATTAATTTTTGTTTGATCTTGTATCCTTTTCCAACACGTTTCATGCGTCGTTCCAATCGCACCAGTGAACCTTCCTGGGTACCCCCCAACCCACCCCCCCCCCCCCCCTTCGAGTCTAATCCCGTTCGTCATTCTCACGCGGTTTATCGTGGTGCGGTGAGAGGAGATAGGGAAATCGCATTTTGTTTAAAATTGGTTTCCCGAAGTGTCGGGTGTTTATTCCGGTGACTGCGAGGTTATATTGGAAGGAAGAGCGTTCCAGACGGCCGCAGAAGTGCACCAGGAAGCAGGATGAAGGGCAGAGGGGTGGGTCTTGGTTGTCGCAGCTGACCGTCACAGCTAAGCTATGTGTGTGGTGGCGTCATTGTGGGTATTTTTTAAAATATTTTTTTTATATTTTCCAGCAACTCTCTTGATCGTTAACACCTCCTTGCCCCGATCCATGTCCTCGTGTAAATGAGCGGTGGGTGCCATGGTGGCTAAGAGATGTTAACTACTTCGCCTGGTATACAGGAGGTCGTCGGTTCGAAGCTGACCATGACGCCTCCTGTATATTTTGAGTTTGCGTGTCCTTTTCTCCCCGTGGTCGCGTGGATCTTTCCCTGGACCATCCGGTTTCCCCCCCGCCCCCCCATATTTAGAATCAACAACGTGCGTTTAGAGTATTTGGCTGCAATAGTTTTCGACATGATAAGCCACTTCGCTTAGCTATCATTTGCGACGAGGTCACTTCTGAAAAAGAGCTATATAGCTCAGTGGGCCTTACTTGATAAAATAAACATAGTTTAGTTTTTATAGCGGTACACACTTAAATGTCAAGCAAAGGTTGAAGGACAGAGGGGTGGGTCTTGTTGGGTGATCGTTGCCTAACGTGGACATTGTCTCGTGATGTAATGAATAAACTTATAACGCACTTAAAATCAATTGTTATGATCACATTACAGGCGTTGAATACCACGTACAGCAACTGATTATTTTCAATTTACATATGATTATATTTTATACTCTTTGGTTCTATTCGGTAAAGTCACGTAGGTAAAAAATAAAACAAAAAATCACGACGTTTCGGCCACAACACAAGCGGCCTTCATCAGGTGAAGGGACCAGACTGTCTCGAGGACAGCGCTGGAGTGAACACAGCTAAGCTCAGACCGCGACCTTTAAGCTGTGTGAGAGGAATCAAGGTGCCTTGACAAAGGAATTAGCATAATAAATTTGCATTTAATTGGCGGACTTAGCATGATGAAAGGTGAACATGTGCAGGTCGGCGAGGGGGGGAGGTGTGAAAGGGAAGAAAAGGTAAGCACGAAAGTTTGGGGTACCACTACTTGAAAAAAGATACTGTACCATTGAAAATTAGTTTAATGTTTGGTTCGATTTAGAACATCTTTTGTTGTTTTATTTTTTACCTACGTGACTTTACCGAATAGAACCAAAGAGTATGGATCCTTGCAGGCACGAAAGCTTCAAATCTAGAAATGATTATATTTTGTTACACAGAACGTAGATTTTATTGTAGCTCGACTATAGAGCTAACAATGCATCACAAAGGCAAGAGTTAATCAACCAGTGTCAGGAACCAGAATCATGATGGTCCAGCAAGTCGCGTAGGGGTCAACCGCTACTGCCCCTCAGTAACATTGCGGCTGCAAAAAAAAATCTACAATTGGTGACGTTTTGGGCTATTGCTCCGAAACATCGCTTACTCGATGTAATTTTTTAAAATATATATTTGTTGTTCCTTCTAAGGCCGCAGAGTTAATGACGAATGTGTTGAGTTGTTGTTAATTGTGCTTGTGCACCAATGCCAACGCAGTAGCAGCAGCAGAAGAAAGTAATTTGTTACAGCCTTGGCAGTCACTGCAGGCAGGGGAGGACACATTTCGTAGGCAACGTGCACAAATATTTCACGATAAAAACATTTTTCATCAGACTTTCACATTTTTGGGCGAAATGAATGCACGGCCGGGTTTCTTGGGAGCTAAAAAAAAAAATTCACAAACATTTTCACCCGGCGTTGTAGCGCGCGCATCATGAATATAATCTGATCCGGTTTGAACAAGTGGCTCAAGGCAGATGCGCATTTCAATCAGAGCAAGGTGTAGACGGGAATGTTGTGGATAAAGGTCTCTCCTGATTGGCCGCTGCAAATCTCTACATCAGCAATTTTAGTTTTTTTTATCCCCCCACCCCTCACCCCCCCGCTACAGTCACATGGTCGAGTGATGTATCCTCCGCCAGTGGGGTGCAGCATGGCATAATACGTTTCGAAATCACTTCGGCCCGGCGTACGTCCGCGTGAACGAGGCTACTTCGGTGTGTGGCGCCGTGGCGTTAAAACATCGACGAAGCGGCGAGCGGCGGCGGCGGAGCGCGAACCCCTCTCTCGCCGAGCTGAATTGGTGCGACGGAAGGCCAACGCGAACGTCGCTTTTTTTTTATTTTTGTGTCCAAGGGAGCTTCGCCAAATCGAATTCCTCGCAGCCGTTGTTGTCGAGTTGGGACGGAGGGTTATTCAAGTTCGCATCAGATGGACACATTTAAAGAGCGTCTCCTTTGATTAACCTCTCGGTGGTAAACACCGCGGTATGCGGCAATCCGCATCGCTCCGGTGACAATAGGGCCTTAATAAGTGATGCGCTTGCAATTAAATTGGAATAGGCTAAAATTATGGACCCGGTTGACTTGACGGTTTCGGGTGTTGGGAGGATGAGGCAATGTAAATGGGGTTCAGGAGCTGTACAGTAAATTACGTGTACAGTAAATTATAAATGTATCTTGCCATTTTATTGTTCATAATAAAGGTTTTTGGGTTAGATCGCGTTATTTATGAATGTGCCGTAATCCGGTTGCACCCGAATCAAGAGCCGAATGGCTCACAGGGTTATTCCAAATAAATGAAACTGAACTGAAACAGGAGCCAAATGCCAAACGTCGATGTCTCCTGGCCATGACGAGAGGGCTTCAGGGGAGAGGGTCCATGCCGTTTCGCTGTTCCTCCTCCGTTGAAGGAGTGCAGACTACAGTGGCTTTGCTACACAGTCCGTAGTTTTAATTTCACGGCCACAATTGCACCGCGGTCATTAGTCTTTTATGTTATCTGCGTGTATCTCCTTCACGAGTGTGTATGTGTCTCTGTGTGTCTATGTATCTCCATGTGTCTATGTGTCCACTGTGGGTTTAGTGTACGGTCCATAGTTTTTGGGTTGCATGGCCACGGTCACACTTTTAAAGTCGCGCCATGCATCTCTATGCGTCTCTATGTATCTCTGTGTCTCTGTGGGTTCACTCTGTGGCCCAGAGCTTGGGTTTCGTGGCCACGGTCACACTACTGTAGCCTGTTGTTCATGTATCTCCATGTGTATATATGCATCTCTATTACATGCACGTATGTTGAACTCCATTCGCACCGTACGCACGCTAATCGGAGGCGCGGGGGAGGGACAATCTATGGGTTTGCTCCGTGGTCCATAATTTTGGTTGGGACGGCCACGGTCGCACTACTGTGCCCTGTCTTTCATTTTACATTCATCATGGAGATGTTCCCGTTAGGTCGATGCGTCCACCAGTGTAACTGTCAGCAGGTTTCGCGGTGTAAAGCGCAGAGAGAGTGAGAGAGAGAGAGAGACGCCAACCCTCATCAACTATCCCTGGCCTCTCTACCCATGCGCCATGAAGACGAACCATTTCCCCCAAAAAAACGTCGCCTGCCATATATTTCGTTTATATTTTAAGGCCACGCAGCTGTTATTCATGAATTATTTGTTTCGCATTGTATTGCGCTGCTGCTGTTAATATTGGTGGTTGTGCGCCACTGCCAAACCCGCAGTCATCGACAAGCTGTCGACGTTCATTCGCTAAATTCACGGTGCGCTAGCGCCACCTAGCGGACAGGCAACGGGCAACGCGGCGTAAAATATCGCGAGGGTAAAAGCGACGTAACTTGGCCCTCTTTTCTTCGTTGTTTTTACTGCCAGGCGAGATCCGCCGAGCCACACTGCCAACGGTGTGGGCCCCCCCCCCCCCCACCAACCACCAACAGTAGCTCTGACCGGCGCTGCGTCACCGACAGAGTGGCACAGGTAGGAGGAGGCGACTCACCTGGGGTCTATGCTTTCGTAGGAACCAACCGTGTAGTGCCTGAAAAGTCGCCTTCCCCTCTCTTCCCGCGTGTCTGAAACGAGAGGACATCAGCATCGTCAAGCAACGGCAGCTTAAGGCGCCGGGGCCTCCTCCCTCCCTCCTCCTCCTCCTCCCATCTCAGGAGCCAAGCAAAGTGGAGCAAGCAAGTAAGGACATTTGTTATTGCGCGCCCCTTATGAGTAGCGGTCCATCCACGAGTGAGCGCCGATCGCACATCCGAAGTAGGCTCTCTGAAGCAACGACGCCGCTCTTGAGTCTGTTGCAGCCGTGGTTCCAGCGCGTTTGGGCCAGAGACCCCCCCCCCCCCCCAACGAGATTGCGCCAAGCCGTGCATCGCGCGCGAGGTTTGCACGCGACGGGCACGAGCGGCGGGTTCAGTGCGAGCCACGGGATCATGGTCGGAGTCGGCTCGGATCTGTCGAAGCTGGCTCGCTCGCACGCTGATCGGCGAGGCAGGGACGGAGCAGATTGACCGGAGACTCTTGAAGACGAGGAGGCATTAGTTATGCTCCAATCCTGTATTTATTAGGTAGTCAGTAGGGCAAACGTCGGGCATGTTTTTCTGGGTTAGGTACTTTTGTGGGAGACTCCCTGGAAATGCCAGGCGATGTAAGGGGCCGGCGAGGTGGTCAGAAAGATTGAAGGCCAGCAATGGACACTTGAATCCATCTGTGTGGAGCTTTAAACATTTACCCCCCCCCTCCCCCGTCCGTCTGTCTCGTAACGGCGCGTTTTCTCCGGGTATTCTGGTTTCCTCCCACAGGCCAAGTGCATCGTGAACATTGCGGGACTAACATCGCAATGCAGGGCCCCCCCTCCCCTCTCTCCTGGAAAGATAGTCCTGAGACTCAGCGAGGCTTTATTGGATAAATAAATTGGCGCGCAATGTTACAAAGCACAGTGAAGCGAGCCCGCCACCCAGTAAAACAACGTCGGGCCAACGTTGACGTTGCTGTTGGAACCGTTGGCCCAACGCTGGCCTATGGTTGGAACCGTTGGTCCAGCCTTGGCCCAACGTCTGCACGTGGTTGGAACTTTTGGCCCAAATATGGGCCGTTGGCCCAAAGTTGGACCTACATTGGCCCAATGTTGGCCCTACATTGGCCCAATGTTGGCCCATACTTGGAACTGTTGGTCCAACGTAGGCCCAACGTTGGCCTAATTTTGGCCCAATGTTGGTCCAACGTTGGCCCATAGCTGGAACTGTTGGTCCAACGTTGGACCAACGTTGGCCAAACGTTGGCCCAACGTTGACCCATAGTTGGAACTGTTGGTCCAGCGTTAGTCCAACGTTTGCACTTGCTTGGAACTGTTGAGCCAAAGTTGGGCTACCGTTTCATGTTTCCCAGGTAAGTCTATATTCAACATAGCCGTCTCTTTACATAATAAACAAAAAATATATATTTTTACACATCCAATTGGCCACACGGCCTTCTAGGAGTGAATTCTCGCAGCAGCATTGGTTAAAGAAAATCAAAGCCTGCACCGGTAATTGTCTACACGTTTAATTTGTGACTTACATTCTCCACAATAACGCTCATGATTATGTTGTGTCACGTACTCTATGGATATTGCGTCACAACTAGGACCCATATCTACCAAAGAGGGCGCGTGCCAATAAACATCGGGCAGTTCACCAAAATAAGTTGAAGCATGCCTGACTTTGCTGATGGGACAATGAGTGTCTAAACCAGTCCAGAGTTGTGCTCGTGATGAGAACCAATGCACCTGAAGTTATACGATCCCAGGTGGTTGCTGTGCGGCTGATGTGGTCTCTAAAGATATACTTTTATATTTTGGCGGAGAGAGACAGATAAGGTGCAGGAGGCGTTCTGTCTGCTTATTTACTTTGTTGCTGATATTCTCCACCACGACGACGGTTATAATGATTATGTTGTGTTAAATCACTCGGATGATTTGTTGATATTTGCCAATAAAACCCACAGTGGGATTAAACTAAACAATGTTTTATTTTACCAGGTAAGGCCCACTGAGCTACGTAGCTCTTTTTTCAGAAGCGACCTGGTTATCACAAATGACAGCTCAACGAAGCGGGCTTATCACGTGGAAATGTACAGCAGCCAAACGCTCTTAACGCGTGTTTCTAAATGCGGAGGGTAAAAAAAAACAACGGAGGACACGGAGAAAAATCCACGTGACTACGGTGAGAGAGACACGCAAACACCAAATATACAGCAGCAGCAGGCGTCATGGTCGTGATCGAACACACGACTTCCTGTACACCAGGCGAGGTAGTTAACATCTCCTAGCCACCGTGATGATGATGAGAGAGAGAGAGACACGCAAACACCAAATATACAGCAGCAGCAGGCATCACGGTCGGGATCGAACACACGAACTCCTGTACACCAGGCGAGGTAGTTAACATCTCATAGCCACCGTGATGATGATGAGAGAGAGAGACACGCAAACACCAAATATACAGCAGCAGGCAGGCAGGGGTCATGGTCGGGATCGAACACACGACCTCCTGTAAACCAGGCGAGGTAGTTAACATCTCACCACTTCCGACAAGACCCCCGTGCATTGCCCCTCGCTGAGAGCGCACGACGAGACGCTCCCCATGAACGCGTGGGAGGGAAGACGCATCCGTGGGACGTGCGATGATGCCGCATGACCACACGGTGTCTCTTCAAGTCAAAGGAAAAGAGAGTGGGCCGCCGCCTTTCTTTCTCACTCTCCACCTCGCTCCTCCTCGTCCGCATTTCACTTCCACTTGTTCAAAGACGGGCTCGACGATTTTACACGTCATACGATCGGCCTCACTCGGCATTTTTCGTTCTTCCCTTAAAACGCTCATTCACGTTAACCTTGCTCGCCCCCAAACTCCCCTTCCCCCTCCCTCCCCCATCGTTAACAACACCATCGTCATCATAATCATCATCCCTCTCCATCACACTCAATCATCAACATCATCATCATCATCATCCACTCGCTGTCACTTTCATCATCGTCTAATTCATACACTGTCCTGTTCTTCTCATAAACTCGTCTTTATGTCATCATACCGGTTCACTGGGCAATTGCTAATTCTCTGTCCAGCGCCTTAGTTAAGGCCTTAGTTAGGGCACTGCATATAATTAAAGTAAGGTAGGATGACGAGCTAAAATCGAATTATCGAGGTGAAACGCAACACGGTAAATTGTACGCATTTGCTGAAATCCGACTCGTCTCGGATGATAATCCGTCACTGCTAATCGGAGTTCCCGCGGTCGCGGTGAGAGTTCCCGGGGACGACGTTCGCATCGAGTCCTGCGAGTAGCTCCCCGGGAACTAAACGATCCTCCAGAAGAGCGTTCCGAGCCGTCGGCGTGCGCGGTGTGAAGGTGATTGCAATCACGCGTTGACAATTCATCGCAGTGGTACACAAAAAGCAATAACCACTCGGTTGATTGGAATTAAAGAATTCCATGACTATTGAAAACAAGGTCAATCTTGCATTGAACCTCACATTAATCTTTAATTCTTACATTAAACACGCAGGTCGCCACCGGCCACTCGTTTGCTTCAACCAAACCGCTTCTACGTAAATTTTACATCAATAACTGGCAGAGCTAAGCCGGGAATGTAAAGCATTCTCCAACGAATGCCACAAATACAAAATTAAACCAATTCCATTAGACTCGCTATCAATCTCACCGGTTGAGAGGCAACGTTTTATAGATTTTATTTTCTTTCGTTAACCGTTTGAGACCACGTTTTCCCATCAGCCGCCCAACCCCCAACCTCCCGACTCAAATGCCTCTTGGGAAACGATGGGTTGCTCGCGCATTTCGGAGCGAAACGAGAGCACCTCGTCAATGAGTTCCCACGTCCCGAGATGTTACGGCCTCTCCCGTGCCAAGGCTGCGGCCTCCCCAGCCCTTTCTGCTTCATAAAAAATGGGCAAAGGTTACTCCGCTCACGACCGATACTCTCGGAAAGGCGTTCGCGCCCCTTTACAAAACGGCGGCCCCCGTTCGTCGTGGTGCGACGAAGAGAAGTGGTCCGGCTTGGTGAGACGCAACATCAACATTTCTACTGGAGGCGGAGGGGGGCACAACGTGCAGGCAATGCGTCTTAGCATGCCGCCTTGCCCACAGCTCTTGATGGAAATCCACCACTGCCACGTGACTGACAGCACAAATAACAATCTGCATTAATTACTGTGTACAACGGTTCACCCATCCCGCCCGCCCGCACGCACGCCCCTCGCCACCACCGTTCAATCAACGCTCGCCGTCATATTAGTCCGCACCCCCCCCTTCCCCCCTGCCGTCTAAAATAATTGTTTTGTTATTAGTAACGGTGGCGGTTGAAAAAATAATTAAGTACACGGCAAAGGCGGAGGGATGGAACCGCATTGGCGAGATGTTAACTACCTCGCCCGGTATACAGGAGGTCGTGGGTTCGATCCCGACTCTGACCCCTATTGTATATTTGGAGTTTGCGTGTCTCTCTCATCATCATCACGGTGGCTAGGAGATGTTAACTACCTCGTCTGGTGTACAGGAGGTCGTGGGGTCGATCCTGACCCCTATTGTATATTTGGAGTTTGCGTGTCTCTCTCTCTCCCGGTGGTCGCGTGGATTTTTCTCCGGGTCCTCCGATTTTTCCCTCCACGTTTAGAGATCAACATCACAACGCGCTTTGAGTATTTGGCCGCTATAAATGTTCCACGTGAAGATAAGCCACTCCCGTTGAGCTATAATTTGCGATAGCCGGCTGGCTTCTGAAAAAGAGACACGTAGAACAGCGGGGCCTTACCTGGTAAAATAAAAAAATAGTTTATAGTTGTTTAAAAAAAAAAGTTTTTTGTTAATAAATTAACCACGCTGGGACCTTCATGGACCAAGCGTGAAAACGTGGGCGGTAAAGGTTAACGCGCTCCTGGGCCTGCTAACGCGCGCGAGCGCACAAAAAAAAAAACAACACGGCCCGAACCGGCGGACTGCCTTGATATTGGATCGTTTATCAACCGGGACAAGCGGCCTGAGAACGGCGACGCGTCACCGCAGGAACCGATGAAAC